TGCGCGTCTAGTCTTTTATTATTTTGACTCGACTTCCGACGATCGGTTTTGACGCTTTATGCTCGAATTACCGACGTCTAAATATTTAACACTCGGGCGACGAATTAATTTCTTCCGAATTAATTCATCGAGTTGGTTCGTATATTTTGCTTGGGTGTGACCCGAAGGGTTCAGTCAAGATTAAGCTGTAATATTAATTATATTAATATTACTGATCGGAAGCGGCCTCCACCCAAGCATTCCGATCACTTGACCTTACTGAATATATTAGCTTTCTAATAATTCTGAACCCGCTATCAGAATAATACACTTGTTCGAAGGACACCATTCCTTTCATCAAGTATGAGAGGGATGACGGCACTATGGGTTCCCTGAATGGGGATCAGAAGACGGCCCGAGAGTGTTATCTCTCAGCCGTCCGAGATACCGTGGCCCCAGGCGGTCAAGAACCCATAGACCTTGACAATGTCAAGGATGCCGACCCAGCTCCTGCCCCACCAGCAGCCGGAAAGAAAAGAAAGGCACCTCTGCTGGTGGAGGTGAAGAAAGAGAAAAAATAGAAATCACTGGCCGGTGAACGGTCAGATGAGCTCCGTCCCCAACCGGCTGGCGAAAGCATTGATCTCGTTCTGGATGACAGTCGTCCAGAGCGTACTGTTAAGGTTGGGACGGTTGCTCATGCTACCTTGGGTGCAAGCTTGCACCTTCTGCTGAAGGAATTCAAAGACATTTTTGCCTTTGAAGTGGAAGAGATGCCAGGCGTCAGTCCAGATCTCGCTGTCCACAAACTCGCCGTGGACCCCAAAAAGAAGCCCATCCGGCAAAAGAAAAGAAACCACGGCGAGGAAAGAAGTCAGTCGGCAGCTGCCGAAGTCAAAAAGATGCTAGACGCCAGGTTCATTCGGCCTTGTAATTTTCCCGACTGGGTGGCCAATGTGGTCCTTGTTAAGAAACCGATCTCAACAAGGCATGTCCAAAGGACAGTTACCCGCTTCCAAAGATCGTAAGTCTGGTCGACTCTACAGTCGGTCACGCCTTGATGAGTTTTATGGATGCCTACTCCGGCTTCCATCAAATACCCCTGTGGAAGAAAGATCAAGAGAAGACGGCCTTCGTCACTGATCAGGTGTTATTCTGTTATACCGTGATGCCGTTTGGCTTGAAAAATGCGCCTGCCACTTTCCAACGGATGATTAATACGGTCTTCATTAATCAGATTAGGAGGAATGTGGAGGCGTACATTGATGACATGATAGTCAAATCCAAGCTACAGACGGATCACCTTGCTGATCTCCAAGAAACATTCACCACCCTCAGGCGGCACAAGGTTATGTTAAATCCTAAGAAATGCGTCTTTGGTGTTGAGTCTGGGAAGTTTCTCGGATTCCTAATTGATCAAAGGGGGATAGAGGCTAACCCTGAAAAGATACAGGCGGTGATAGACATGAAGTCACCCCGTTCTGTCAAGGAAGTGCAGAGGCTCACCGGTTGTCAGGCCGCCTTGGGGAGGTTCCTCAGCCGGTCAGGCGACAAATGCCTCTACTTCTTCCAAGCAATCAGGAAGAAGACCAGATTTGAATGGGGGGATGAGGCTGAGGCGGCATTCCAGAGGTTGAAAGAGCATTTACATTCTCTACCTAGGCTGGTCAGCCTGTTGCCTAGGGAGACGTTGTATATGTACTTAGCCGTCTCACATCATGCCCTCAGTGCCGTTCTCCTTGCTGAGCGAGACGACGTGCAGCTCCCGGTTTACTTCATTAGCCATGTTCTCAAAAATGCTGAACTCTGGTACCCCATGGTTGCAAAATTTGGCCTCGCTTTGTATATGGCATTCAAAAACTGAAGCCCTACTTTCTGGCACACCTGGTGGTGATTTACACCGACCAGCCACTCAAGCGGCCAATGTCTACCTTGGACTCATCCGGGAGAATGTTGAAATGGGCTATTGAAATGCAAAGTCTTGAAATCACTTACGAACCAAGGAAGGCAGTGAAAGGTTAGGCGTTTGCCGACTTCATTGTTGAAATGACCCGTTCGGTGGCTCCGAATAATCTTGATCAGGTTTGGAAAGTGTATGTAAACGGGAGCTCTACTAAGAACGGCTGTGGTGCAGGCGTAATTTACGAGTCTCCTGAAGGGGACAGATTTGAGTATGCACTACGCTTCAAGTTTCAGCCCTCTAACAATGAGGCGGAATATGAAGCCCTGCTAGCCGACATTCGCATGTGTAAGGCGGCAGGGGCCATGAAAATTGACGCCTACTCTGATTCTCAATTGGTTGTTAGCCAGTATGAGGGAAGCTACGAGGATACTCATCCGGCTATGATTAAATATCTTCAGGCATTCAAAGAAGAGACCAAGGCACTTGAGGAATTCCGTCTGAGTCAAGTGCCTAGGTCAAAAAACAACTAGGCGGATGCATTGTCAAAACTGGTGTCTTCCGCCTGCCATGATACGCCTCGGTCTGTCGTTTGGGAAGTTCTTGAAAAGAGAAGCATCTATGAAGATCCCATTGGAATTCTGGACCAAAGCTCTACCTGGATGGATGACATCTGGGCCTATCTCTCAGACGACACACTTCCTGATTCGCCACAGGAAGCAGCCGTCCTGAAGAAGCGAGCTGCAAGCTTCGAGTTGAAAAATGGAGAACTCTTCAAGGCGGGGTTTCTTAAGCCCCTGTTGAAGTGTGTCACCCTAGAAAAGGGGAAGGAAGTTCTCGAAGACTTGCACTCGGGATTTTGCGCCTCCCACATAGGCGACAGGTCCCTAGCCGTTAGAGCCAGACGACATTACTTTTGGCCCACTCTTGAGGCAGATGCCAAGGAGTTGGTGAAGAAATGTGACAAGTGCCAAAAGTTTGGCAAAATTATTCACCGTCCGGCTACTGATCTGACGGCCATCCACAACCCAATCCCGTTTGCAAAATGGGGCATGGACATTCTAGGTCCTTACACGCCTGCTCCAGGCGGAAAGCGCTACATCTTGGTGGCTGTGGATTATTTCACCAAGTGGGTGGAGGCTGAGGCGGTTAAAAACATCAAGACCTCAGACGTAATTTCCTTCATTTGGAAGAACATTATCACCCGGTATGGGGTACCTATGTCTATGGTGTTTGATAATGGTCCTCAGTTTGAGACGCCTCAGCTAAAAACTTGGTTGGGAGATCAGGGGATCTCAAGCTATTTTGCATCTGTTGGCCGGCCCCAAGCAAACGGCCAAGTTGAAGCCTTCAACAAACTCATCTCAGACGGCATTAAAAAGAAAATAGAAAGAGCCGGTGGCTTATGGGCAGAAGAATTAATCCATGTCCTATGGGCCATCCGGACAATAGCGAAAGGGGCAACCGGTGAAACCCCATTTCTCATGGTTTACGGTGCTGAAGCCGTCTTGCCCATCGAACATTACGAGCCGACTCTCAGAGTCATGCTGTATGATGAAGAGGCAAACTGGGAAGCAATGCGCCTGGCATTGGATTCACTCCCAGAACGCAGGGGCAACGCCGCCTTGCGTCATGAGATTTACCGTTTGAGAATGATTAGAGCCTACAACAAAAAAGTACACAAGCGTCCTTTGAAAGTTGACGACTTAGTGTTACGGAAAATGGAGGCAACCGGTAGGGCCAATGAGCTGGGTAAGCTAACTCCAAATTGGGAAGGCCCCTACCGGATCTATGAAGAAGCAAGGGATGGCACCTACCGCCTGGAAACCCCAGACGGCAGGCGTCTACCTAGAACTTGGAATGTAGACAATCTAAAAAAGTACTACTTTTGAGATTGTAAATTTTTTGTAAACAGTGAGTCAATTAATGAAGATCCAGACTTTGTTTGCAAAATTGAGTTATTGATTGATTAATCCATCCGGGTAATACCCAGGCGGATTCTTCTTTACCTAACTAAGTTTGACACTTAGAAAAGGTTACATTTATTGGTCCACCTGGGTAATACTCGGATCCCTTGTTTGTTTAAGTTTGATACTTTGTTTATTCAACTGCCTGATTATCTGCCTGGGTAATACCCAGACTGACCCGATTTGTTTAAAAAACTAAGTTCGATACTTAGTGTAAATTCAATACTGACTAAAAACTAAGCACAAAAATGTTTAGTGGCTATACAACCGGTCTCAAACAAAACCAGAGGCTAAAATGGCCGGATGGTTGCTCACTTTATAAAATCGCCTGTCCCAACATGGACAAAGGCGTCCGGCGACACCCCTCCGGGTGCAATCGTCGCAGAGAACAGACTATCTATCGGTTCTACGTACCTATGCAGACAACAAAAATTAAACGACCAAATTGGTCAACTCATAGCCGTCTGACCAAAATAACCTATGAAGAATGAATTAAGTTTCCGGATACTGGATGCCCATAGGCATCAGTCGGTTACCGGCTGAAGTTCTCACTTAGGTTATTTATTCCAAAATTGCACTTCCCACCCCAATTGGGGCAAAAGAGTTGTTCAATGGCTATGAAATCTCTACCAAGACGGACAAACGCCGTCTGTGTAGTGACTGAAACGCCTGTTGGTGTACGGATGTGCACTTGGTTTGGGGCAATCACTACTGTGATTGATTGACTTACAAACGTATCATGTTCTTCGCAGCATCAGACGTTTTCAAGTCAATCAACCAACTCCACTTGAAACCAATCACACAGGACAGCCAGACTATTGACTAGCTAGGCAAAAAATCGCCGCATGCTTTTGATAAGTTAGGCAAAATGAAAAATTAAAAATTTGCACAAAATAAAAATTCAACTTCAAATGCAAAATGATCAAAACCGACTCAGTCGGTGCATTTCATAAAAGTCCACCCAACCAAACGGTTGTAGCGGATCAAATGTTAACCGGACCCCGTCCGGGAAAAAGAAATTGTTAATTAACCCGGATCCTTAGCCGGTAAATACAAGGAAACTCGGCACGCAGGCCGGAAAAGGTAAGTCTTGGCATACAGCCGCTGAATAAAAGAAAATAAAAGGAAAAGATTGGCATACTGCCGCTGAGTGGTCACTTCTGGCCTGCAGACGGAGCCTCCTGGTCCCCCTCCTCCTCACCATCTGAGGGTATCTCTTGCGCTTCACCAGGACCAGGAAGCTCAGGCACGGACGACTCATTGTTGGAGTTGACCCAGACTTCGAAAGAGGCAGGCTCTGGCTCGCCTTGTTCTCTCAAGTACACCACGTACTCGGCATAGCTGTGCGCCATTGCCCAGATGCTATAATCCGCGTCTAGGTACAAGGCAGCCCAGGCAATCTTCATACGGGCGTAATTGTCAGCGTCACTCTCAGCAACAAGGTGGTTTTGCTCCGCCTCCAGGGTTGCTGCAAAGTTCTTCTGAGCCTGAGCAGCCTCCTTCTCCAGCTTTTGAACCTTGGCCTTCAGTTTGGTGTTCTCTTCGGAAACACCTTTAAGTGTGCCAAGGTCCGTCTGGGCCTTCTTGAGCGCCTCATCAGCCTTCTTGGCGCTCTCATCCGCCTTCTTCTGGGCCTCCTCCGCCGCCTTCTTAGCCGTCTCAGCATCCGACGCCTGCTGTTTGGCCGTCTCCAGATCCGCCTCCAGCTGCTGGATTCTAGACGCCTGTGTCATAATTATTGCTTTAGTTTCAAGTTCATTTACGATAATCGAGTGTAAAGCAATATTATCAGCGTCTATGGCGGACTTCTTGGCCCTTTTTACCTCTTCCCGTTTGCGGGAATAAGGACGTTTGAGCCTGTCCACCCACAGCATGGCCTGCAAAAAGTCAGGCAGCATAAGTATGGCAGGCGGGATAAGACATTTGGAAAAAATAAAATTGAATTGACAAGTTTCTTACCTCAGCCAGAAGGGATAGAATGCGTTCAAGATTGAATGTCTCTATCCCAGGGATATTGTCCTTATCCCTCTTCCGGACGGCTTCCAGCATGGCCTTGGCATGCTTCTGGACGTCTGGCCAGCGGAGAGATAGATCTACACCATAATCAATACGTGACGAGTGCGAAACTAAGGCAGCACCTATTTGTTGCCGACCGTCTGAGGATGACGTCTGTTGGGAGTGGGATTTCACCCATAAAGGCCACCCCAGCTCAAGCGGGGATTCAAAAGGGTTCTTACCTTCAGAGCCGGCCAAGCGAGAACCGCTTGCAGGCGTGGTGAACCCTGCGGCTGCTGATAAGGGGTTGACAAGATCAAGGCACACGCTGCCGCCTACCTTCTCGAGTCGCCCCGATATCCGCATCGTCTTAGCCTCGGCTGAGGCGCCAAGAGTTGATGCAGAGGTGGATTTTTTGATTTTGTTGAGAACGGCAGGGTTCTCCTCCCTAGCCCGTTTGAGTTGCTTCTCAAACGACTTTCCAACCTCTCCTCCCTGAAAAATAACCAAAGTTAAGGTTAGCATCCGGGAAAATGATTTTAAAGGATCAACGTATGAAAGGGTCAGGCGTTTGTTACCTTGGCCTTGAGTTCAGCCGCAGCTTTCTCCGCAAGATCCTTGCGGATGGTTGCAGAAGATCGTTTGGGAGTTTTCTCCGATTGCAGCATGTTTAGAGCTTCTTCTGCAAAAAGAAAGAAATTGGTCAATATCATAAGTCAATTTCGAGAGAAAAATACTACAGACGGTATAAACTCAAGCGCATACGTTATGTAAACATGTGCCCTAGCCCGCAGGCGGCTAGGAAACATTCATCCTTGAACCAGGCGCTCTTGGGGATCCAATTCTTGGGAACTTTTATTGTTTCCCCGGTTGACAGAGTTGCGTCTGTGAGGCCAAAAAAGTCTGCCTCAATTATCTTGTCAAAATCTTCCTCTGGGATCCGGGGAAGAGCGCACTTCCTGCCCAACAAGTCGGGCTTCTTATTGTACAGACGGAATTCATAATTTTCCCATCTGGTTGGGGCTGACATCAAGTAGAACCTGTGCTTCCAGCCATCGAACTTTGAGACCTTGTCCAAGGTCATCATATATTGCGGCTGCGTGGTTAGAGTGTACCACGCCCTCCAGCCGCCTGGGCTTCTGCTGAGATAGTGCATGCTTGCAAAAGCCTCCCAGCCGGGGTTAAGCCCCTGGAACTCGCAGGCGGCAGCATACCCCAGAATGTTGGTCCAGGAGTTGGGGGTAAGTTGCCAGACCCCAAGGCCGTAGGCTCTTAAAATTGCCTTCACCGCCTGGTGAAGGGGGAAGCGAAGGCAAGCTTTGAACGCCGCCTCATAACAGCCAAAATAGTTGTTGGCGTTCTGTTCATCGTCCTCCCAGGCGATGGTGCCATTCTCAGGCGGCACCCGGATCCTATACCCGTCTCCTAGCGGGTGCATTTTTCGTAAAATTCTTTAAGTTTTCTTCCATTTGGATCCGGTCCTTGGAAGAGACATGGATGCTGAAGGGATCATCCTTCTCGCTCCACTTTTTCCTTTTTTCCTCCTCGCTATCAGGAAGCGGGGGTAAGTCATCACTGCTTTCATAGGTAGAGGCGGAGCTGTCGCTCTCCGTCTCCTCCTCGCTATGACCCAAGGGGGCAGAGACGGCCTCGTCGCCGCCTTGGTCACACTCTTCCAAGAAAGAGTCAGCAGGGGTTGAAGGGGCGCGCAGAGGGGATCTCTCCAGAGCCGTCTGGTCTCCCTGACCAGACGTTTCTCCCTCAGGCGTTTGGCCGCCTGAGCCTTCGCTTTTGTAATTTGGATCCGTTGCCATCTGCATTGTCCGAGCCATGGTGTCCTGCACAGACACATAACTGGTCGAAATCCAAGGCAAAGGGTGGTCCCAACACCCCGAGACGGCACTCCCAGTCCTAGAATCAGCCGTCCCTGGTGACCGGCTGGACTCTAACCTAGGTTGTGCCGTGTGTGTTGGTGATATAGTGTTTATATAGTGTTTTATCCTCGTCCCGTGGTCGTTATTAGTAGTGTTTTTGGCTCTTTCGGGCCACTTTTATTACTAATTTGTGTGTTCTAGTGTTTTCGTAGTTTTAGTTGTATTTTACAGGAAATTGCACTCTTGGAGCATTTTCCCGGGCCTTATTGGATCGACTACGGAAGCTAGAAGGACACGACCACTTTTGGAGCCCAAGATCGGTGAGAGCCGGTGACTAAGGGCTTGGTAATTTGGATCACGAGGCATTTGGACCAAGTATTCGAGACCCGAGAGGAAATATGGATTGGGCAGAGAAATCTAGCCTAATCGAAGTTCAAGCCTCGAAGATGAAGATCGGGGCCAATCAGGCAAGCATACGCCCGATCGGGCGGCTGCGAGCATTAGTGCCCTCAAGGAAGAGGCGCGCCCGATCGGGTGAGCTAGGCTCGATCGGGCGCGGCACATCAGAAGAAGCATTTGAAAAAAGGCGGGCCCGATCGGGTGCCCCTTCGCCCGCTCGGGCGCGTGTTTTCTTAGGACCTGATTAAGTTTTGTTTTAATTTTTGTTTTAGGAGAAGTTTATATACGTTTTTGTACAGAATAAGTACTTACCTCTTTCTCTTAGACTTTCTCTCTCTACTTAGTATCTTTCTCTCTCTGAAATTCTCTCTAAACTTTTGTTCTTAATTCCTTCATTAATTCCATATTTACTTTGGTACAATTTCTTCCCTTTTCAATTTCAGCTATTTTAATTGTTTTCTTGTTATTGCTTTTAATTATTTATTTGATTGGTTTAGTTATGATGATTAGTGAGTAGTTTAATTCTAGGGTTTATGGGGATCCGTAATTAATATGAAGGGATAGTTTGTTATTATTGATTGTTAATATTGCATGATAATTTCCTATTAAATTGTTTTAATTCTTTGCAATTATATTATGAATCGAGCAGATGTAATTTGATTGTGAATGTTTAGCAATATTGAATTGATGAATCGAGCAGATGTTGATTTAATATTAAAGGCTATTTTTAATAGGAACTTAGGTCTAGTAAATCGCGAAAGCCTGTTAGATCTATGTTGATTAATAAATTGCGAGAGCCTATTAATCATGTTATCTGTGCATTGTTAATTATTAATTACTTCGTTCTATCCCGGAATATTAATTATTGGTGAACCTGTGACCCTAGGTTTCCTTATTATTGATTCTTTTCTCCCTAAACTTGTTCTTCGTAGTATAGAATTCTTACCTAAAAATATTGGTTACTTAGATAATGTAGAGTATAATAATTAATTAGAATTAAAAAGACATGTTTCCCTGTGGAGTTCGACCCTACTTCCCTATCTACCTTAGTTAGTGATTTAGGTAATTATTTTTTATTAGGGGATACGACTTTACCCTGTCAGAGATAGAGACGGTACCTTTGGATTTGATATCTGAAGGAAGGCAGGTCCGGCTGGGTCGTCGAAGAACAAACTTTCTTACTCGCGTCTGACTCAAACGGATGACTTCTGCTCTCTCAAAGTTTTTCTCTCTAGGAAATTTTTGTAAACGTACAAAATTATGAGGGTAAAATGACTATATATAGAGGGTAAATATGGGGGCATTTCCGTAATTTACTCGGAAGGTGAACGGTTACTTCTTTATGGTAAAATTATCGCCAACCTGAGTGTGACACGTGTCATAGATGCCACGTGGCGTGCCACGTCACATCTGTGAGGGGCAAATGTTTAGGGTAATTTTACCCCGCCACGTGGTCCAATCAGAGTGGCCCAAAGTGGACCAATCCCTGCTTGACACGTGTCACTCTAGAAATAAAGGGAAAATGGCGGCCTTCAGGCCCAAATCCCGAGGACGCCGCAAAACGGCGCAGCCCACCAATGATTAGGGTTCCGTAACCTAATCAGGGGCACAATTTCCAAAGATCCTATAAATAGGGAGATGTCCCTCCTTTTGAGGACACGTTTTATCATTTATTACACATTTTACTCTTTGATAGAGACATCCTGAGCTTGGAATCCGAGCAGATCCCTACCTAAATTTCCGCACCTTTTTTCTCCCTTCAAGTTTCTAACTTGTGCGTCGGAGGCGGAGCACCACCCAACTGGTGTCTCCGTTTGTTTTGCAGGTACAGCTCACCCCGGATCAGTCTTCGTGTCGTAACTCTCCCGAGGGACAAAAACACCCAAAACAGTAATGTGAATAGTTCACGAAGGAATCTATGGCACTCATGTAAACGGCAAAATGCTAGTCCAGAAAATAATGCGAGAAGGATATTATTGGACTACAATGAATAGGGATTGCCATCAATATGTAAAAAGATGCCCTAAGTGCCAAATTTATGCCAATTTACAACATGTCCCTCCATCTTTCCTCTACACCTACACATCGCCATGGCCATTCTCTACATGGGGAATTGACATAATTGGCAAAATCACTCCCCCGGGAACAGGAGGCCACGAATTTATCCTAGTAGCAATCGATTACTTTACAAAGTGGGTCGAAGCGCAATCATACGCTAAACTCACTGCAAAACATGTAGCACTCTTTATCGAAAGAAATATTATTTGTCGATATGGAGTCCCACATGAAATGATAAGTGACAATGGAAATCACTTTCAAGCCGAATGTGAAGAATTGCTACAAAAATATGGCGTTCAACATCATCATTCTTCCCCTTATAGACCTCAAGCAAACGGAGCAGTTGAGGCAGCTAATAAAAACCTAAAGACTATCATCGAGAAAATGACAGAAAATTATAAGGATTGGCCTGACAAGCTTCACTTCGCATAGTGGGGTTATCGCACGTCAATCCGTACATCAACAAGAAATACGCCATTTTCCTTGGTATATGGAATGGATGTCGTACAACCTGTCGAATTAGAAATACCATCTCTACGCATTGCGCTAGAGAGTAAACTCGATGAAGTTGAATAGACTAGGGCAAGATATGAAGAATTGATTCTACTCGACGAGAAACGACTAGAAGCTCTACATCACACTCAATGTTACCAAACTCGTATGGCTAGGCAGTTTAATAAAAAGGTCAAGACAAGAAATATCAAAGTAGGAGATTTGGTATTAAAAGCACTAAGGAAAAATGTTTTAGACCCAAGGGGAAAATTTAGACCTAATTGGTCTGGACCCTTCATTGTCAAGACAATCCTATCAGGAGGTGCATCAAAACTAACTGATATGGATGGCAATGAATTCTTAAACATGACCAATCTTGACCAACTTAAGAAATACTACCCATAATTACTTGAGTAGGATACTCAAGAGAGCTACGTTCGGCCTGATTCCTTAAGAAAGGATATGTAGGCAACCCTTTACGGGTGCGGCCACTTTATTTTTCGACATCTCCGCGTTCAAGAATTAATTAAAATTTCAACAGAAAAATCGGCGAATTATTGGCGTCACAGAACAGAACCTGGCGCCAGCCAGAAGTCATCAGCGCCAGCCGATGGAATTGACGCCTTGCGCCAGACTTCAATGGCAGGCGCCAAATGCCAATGACTGGCGCAAATTCGGGAATAAAATCTGGGCGAATTTCGGTATTTTTTCGGAAAATTTCGACTTCCGTACTCGAAGAATTTCTGGAAAATTATTTTTTTTTTCGATTTTCATTGCTTTAATAAAATAAATTTAAAGTAAATAATTTAATTGAAAGCTAAAATTTCATTAATAAAATAAAATTACATTATTGATGGAATTTAATAAAGCTGAAATAAATTAACTTTGAATAAAAATAACAATCTAAGTCTAATAAATCTAAAGCTAAGCAATGATCTTAATCTTTCTTTTCCTTTCTAGCTCTTTTCCAATTCTTGTCTGCTTCCTCCTCTTCATCCATAACTTTTGCTAGTAGGCATCCTTTAGAGGACCTACATTTGATTTTAGAGTAGATGGTCTCCCCTTCAGCTAACACTCCATGCTTCTTTTCCACCCAAGCTTTTTTGTCTGTGGTGTTAGCTTTCCTTTTTCCTTTGTCTTTGGTAGTACCTCTCTTCCTAGGCATTGCAGGTGTTTTGAATTCAATTCTTGCACCTAAGCGTTCTTTGGCAGGAGTCACCCTGTCACCTAGAC